TATTGCGCCAAAGCTCCCATAACTAGATGGTATGACTGAGATTACAGATTTCTAGATCCAACCGATAATTGACAACCATAAACCATAGCACAGGCTATTTTTCAAAATTCGTCGTCTGTGGGATTTGAACTCTAGACCTGCTACTTGGAGAGGGTGATGACTAGACCACTACACTAAGTTGCCACACCTTGATATTTTTATATATAATTTATATAGTAAAACATATAAAATACTATTAAAATATATAATATTTTTAAAATTAAATTTCTTAAAAACTACTGCATAGAATTTTTTAAACTTTTTTTTATTTAAACGATCTAATTTAATAGAATTTATAATTTTATTTTTATTTTATAATTTTGAAAACTTAGCTCAGTATATAGATTTTAAATTAAATTATACTATTCTTAATACAATTTTTTAAATTGAATTGAATAACTTTGAGGCTTAATTTCTCAATAACTTCTAATTCAAATTTAATAAAATTTATAAAATATATTTATTATATATACACTAATGCACTTTTATAATACAAACATATAACACTGCATATTTGATCTAAAAAAGCTAAAATGTGATTTTTTAAAAAAACAGTTTTTTTGTTTTTTTTTTGAATTAAAAAAGTTTGCTATTAATAATTATAAAAGTATAACTATAATATAATAATAAAAATGATATAAATAATTAATTTAAAAGATATTTTATTGAAATATAAAAATATTATATATATATTACTAATAATTTATTAATTTTTAATTGTAGTAAAAAATTAATTTAAATTTGATGTACAAATCTTTTTGCACTGGACTATATAATAAATTAAAAAATTTATTTATATTTTTAAAATTATAGTCAATTATCAATATAATGATTACCAGCTGACGCATTTATAAAATTTATATGGATCAGTAATTTACTAATTAAATTATTGAATGAATTGGCTTTATTTTTCACTAATATATATTAAATAATGTTGCGGCTGATACTAGAAAGGCTGATGCTAGAAATTTTAATTATTTAATATGAAATTTTCAAAAAATTTTTGGGCCTTTTGTTAAGGGGTTTTTTTAGAGTTATAGTTTAGTGGTAGTTTTAATAATAAAAGAGTATAAGTAGATTTTGGTAGAGTTTTTATTTTTAAATCAAGGTATCTAATTTTTAGTATTAGCCATTTCTAGCTTCAGCCACGACAAATAATTTACTAATTCATTAAACTAATAAATTTGGTATAAGGATATTTTGTTATTTTGTAGTTAACTATAAATTGAAATCAAAATCAAATATTATACCAGTTTAATTCTACAAAAGCCTTTAACATGTTCATTTTCTTATGAAGTAGAACAGACAATAATATAATTTCCAGATATTCATTTTTGAATTTTTGTATATAATAGTAAGGAATTCTATCACAAACTACTATAATTCATTTTCGACTACCATTATTAATTTCACTAATTTTTTGAATATGATCAAAGACTTTACAAACATTATTTATAGAATTTGGATTAATTGGTAAAGGATCAGATACAAGAATTTCAGGCTTATTAACACTACCCTGAGGCTCTAATTCTTGGGTTGTACTAATGCTAATTGAATTTATAGTTTTATCTGATATACTGGGTTGATAGGGTTTAAAATTAGTTGCTTGGTTAAATCTTTTTTTTATCTTTTTTATCAAATACAGCTAGATCAGGGTTGGCAAATGACTTTTAAATGACATAAATGACATTGTGACATTGTCATTTGTCACTTTGTCATTTAGAAGATAAATGACAAATGACAAAAATAGGTTATATTTAAAAATGCTAAGATTCTAAGATCATTAAGGTTTTGTGACCTTCGGGTATTTTAGAATTGGTTAAATTCTAAAACACCTGAAGTCTTACTATATTACTTTTAAATAACAAAAATAACAAATGATCTATGTTATTTGTCACTAATTTGTCATTTGTCATGAAAATTTTAAATGATATTGTTATTTGCCAACCCTGAGCTAGATCGCTTTCTTGTTGAGTTTCTGCAAGTGTAGGAAGCTTTGCTTAACAATTAGGGTATTTACACTTAGAATTTTCAATTTCATTTTTACCACATTCACAGTATTGTTTTTGATTATTTGTTTTAGTATTTTGATTAGCTACTAAATCATTAATAACATTTATATTTTCATTTTTTTCTTTACATAATTTAGGTATAATAGTTGAAAAATAATCATGAAGCTGGCAATCAAGTAATATTTGCATTTCTGAAGTGAGAGCAAATAATTCCTCAATTTGTGGCGTATTAAGATTTTGATTTAACTAAGGATTTTTGAAATTTTGTATTTGATTATTAGGATTAAAATTAAACAAAACAAAACTAGTAACTATATGTAAAGTTACTTTATTATATTCATGATCCAAATAGTTTTTTTGTCCTTTTTGTTCATTATTGAATACTATAAACACCAAACTATTTGGAAATAGCTCAGGATTACCTGCTAAATTTTTTTGCTATTTAATAAACTTAGTAAAACTACTAACATTCATAATATAACTATCAATATCTATTAAGCATGGCGGACATTCGATTTAATTGGCTTGAAGATCCCTGAGTTACACAACTTAAATAAAAAATTTTAAAGTAACTCTTACTATGTAAAACCACATCGTCAATTGGCAACTCGTGGTTTCACATAATAAACTTTTTTTAAACATCTTAAAAGTATTTTTTACCTCTTTGTACGTCTATAGTAAAAAAAGATCAGTATAGATCATTATCACTAAAGACTTTACTTAGAGAGCAAAATTTAGGTAAATTGCATTAGTAATATATAGCAAATGAGATAATAAGCTTTCAAATTCGAAAAAAATTTAACTAACATAAATTTTTTTTGTAACAAGAGGGAAGAACTAATAAGACGGGTATGGCAAAAGTGAACAGCTTGTTGAAAGTTTAACTAATGATGGTTTGCACAATATGTATTATAGTTTCACATAAATTAATAATTTATTAATAGTGCAGTAATGCGTAGAAAATGAGAATAGATTCTGCTAGCAGCAATGCTGGCTATGTTTTCAAATTCTTGCTTTCAAGGTACCTATCTAGTTTAACATTTGATCAATACGTGTGAATTCGATCCATATAATTAATACTTCAAATACTTCAAACATTAGGTACACGAAATCTATCAAAAATTCAAATGAGTCAGAGTATCATATTCTTTTAGATAATTTCATGGAGGATGTAATCACTGTATTGAATTACCCTGAGTGGCCGGCTGCTGAAATGATAGTTCGAATATTTAGCAAAATCATGGTATTTTACCTTGTCTAGTTGTCGACTGATTAATCGAGTAATTTTAACCAGTATTTAAGTAATTATTCTTTATTCTTATTATATAAACTCTAGATTGGCTATAGAAAAGCAAATAATTATACAAAATCAATAGCTATTGACTATTTAGGAATCATAGCTAGATGTATCAAAAAATTTGCAAACACAGGTCTCATCTCTGGTGAAGATGTATAGTGTGAATTTTTTTTTTATTCTCAATAACTAACTCAACCTTAATTATGCACATCCGTAATCTGTGACAGGTTAAGCTACTAATTTCAATCACTGTTTGACTATGCCTTAAATCAAGAAAAAGCTATTGTAATTTGAAAAGGCTTATTATTGTGAAGTCGAATAAGGTGCTGCGAAGATATGAGTTCATGAATAAATAATATGGAAGAAAGGAGAATTCAACTCTTTTGAGTTTCAAAAAGGTAAAATTAAGTAAAGAAACGACATATTGTCTGCTTTGCTTAAAGTAATTATAATATACTAGAGGAATATTTATGTGGTATTCGTTATTTATTTTATTGTCTTTATATTGGTTCAATTAATATCAAAATGCAACTTTTGAATTTATAAGTTTTTAAATTCTAACTTCAGATATTCTTTGTTAATATATAGTTTACAATAGTCAAGCCTTACGCTGGGAATATAATTAGACATAATTGAAATTAGTAGCTTAACCTGTCACAGATTATGGGCGTGTCTTAATTACCGGATAGTTTGGTCTCCACTTAGTAGTTCTTGTTAAATACGAAAAGAAATATCTTCGCTCACTACAAAACAGTCTATTGCTAAATATAGGATGTTAACAATCTGGTCTGGTTCAGTCTGGTCAATTTGGTCCAAGTCTAGTCTGGTATATTATAATCTTCAGTCTAAAGACTTTGCTAGTCTATACCGGTCCAATCTTAAGATTTAGAACCAGACATACCGAATAATCGATTATAGGGGCAATTTTTCAAGCTCAATTAATTGATTGGTAGCACAGTTAATTAATTGCAATTGATTTTAATTGTATAACATATAGCAAAAATCAACTTCAATTAATTTTTTGGCAGGCCTGCTTAGAGCAGACCAATTTTTTTTAGTTCAGACTGGTCTTAAGACTAACTGTGGTCTATTAGTCTAAGAACAGACTACATAACATCCCTAAGAACAGCCTAAGAAACCAAGATTATCAACCGGAAGAATTGGAATTGGTGTTGAATGAACATCATTAATCCGGAAATGGATTCATTCTAGCACTTCTTATCAACTGGGCCGGAAAAATTAGAATTGGTGTTGAATAGACACCATTTACTCCAGGAATTTTCTTGGATTGATTGGAATGAATCCAGAAATACCTGGGAAATGGATTCATTCTAGCACTTCTTTTATCAACCGGCCTGGAAGAATTGGAATTGGTGTTGGTGTTGGATGAGCACTATTTACTCCGGGCATTTTCTTGGATTAATTGTGAAGAATTCAGAAATATCTGAGAAATGGATTCATTCTAGTACTTCTTTTATCAACCGGCCCAGAAGAATTGGAATTGGTGTTGAATGGACACTATTTACTCTGAGAATTTTCTTAGATTGATTGGAATGAATCCAGAAATACCCAAGAAATGGATTCATTCTAGTACTTCTTTTATCAACCGGCCCAGGAGAATTAGAATTGGTGTTGAATGGACACCATTTACTCCAGGCATTTTCTTGGATTGATTAGAATGAATCCAGAAATATCTGGGAAATGGAAAAGTGAAGATTAGTATTTTTATGTTTATTAATTGCCTATGTTTTTAAGAGGATTCATTCTAACACTTCCTTTATCAACCGGACAAAAAAATTTCTACTGGCCTGGAAGAATTGGAATTGGTGCTGGATGAACACTATTCACTCTGGGCATTTTCTTGGATTGATTGTAATGAATTCAGAAATACCCGGGAAATAGAAAATTCTAGTACTTTTTTTATCAACCAGCCCGGAAGAATTGGAATTGGTATTGAATGGACACCATTTACTTCGGGAATTTTCTTGGATTGATTGGAATGAATCCAGAAATACCCAGGAAATGGATTCATTCTAGCACTTCTTTTATCAACCGGCCTGGAAGAATTGGAATTGGTGTTGAATAGACACCATTTACTCTAGACATTTTCTTGGAAATAGAAAAGTGAAGGTTAGTATTTTTATGTTTATTAATTGCCTATGTTTTTAAGAGGATTCATTCTAACACTTCCTTTATCAACCAGACAAAAGAATTTCTACCAGCCCAGAAGAATTGGATGTTGGATGAGCACTATTCACTCTGGGCATTTTATTGAATTGATTGTGATGAATTTAGAAATATACAGGAAATGGATTCATTCTAGCACTTTTTTTATTAACCGGCCTGGAAGAATTGGAATTGGTATTGAATGGACACCATTTACTCCAGGAATTTTCTTGGATTGATTGGAATGAATCTAGAAATACCCGGGAAATGGATTCATTCTAGCACTTCTTTTATCAACTGGCCCAGAAGAATTAGTATTGGTGTTGAATGACACCATTTACTCTGGGCATTTTCTTGGAAATGGAAAAGTGAAGGTTAGTATTTTTATATTTATTAATTGCCTATATTTTTAAGAGGATTCATTCTAACACTTCCTTTATCAACCGGACAAAAGAATTTCTACCAGCCCAGAAGAATTGGAATTGGTGCTAGATGAGCACTATTTACTCTGGGCATTTACTTGAATTGATTGTGATGAATTCAGAAATACCTGAGAAATAGATTCATTCTAGCACTTCTTTTATCAACTGGCTCGGAAGAATTGAAATTGGTGTTGAATGGACACCATTTACTCTGGGCATTTTCTTGGATTTGATGAATTCATAAATATCTGGAGAAATGGATTTATTCTAGCACTTCTTTTATCAACCAGCCAAAAGAATTTCTACTGGCCCGGAAGAATTGGAATTGGTGTTGAATGGAACTATTTACTCTGGGCATTTTCTTGAATTAATTAAAATGAATTCAGAAATATTCGGGAAATAGATTCATTTTAACACTTTCTTTATCAACCAGCCTGGGAAATTGGTATTGGTGTTGAATAGATCTGGGCATTTTCTTGGATTGATTAGAATCAATTTTAAATATCCAGGAAATAAAAAAGCAAAGGTTAGTATTTTATGTTTATTAATTGTTTATGTATTTAAGAGGAATGATTCTAACACTTCTTTTATTAACTGGACAAAAAAATTTCTACCAGCCCGGAAAAATTGAAATTGGTGTTGAATAGACACCACTTATTCTGGGTATTTTCTTGGATTGATTGGAATGAATTTAGAAATATCTGGAAAATGGATTTATTCTAACACTTCTTTTATCAACTAGCCAGAAGAATTGGAATTGGTATCAAATGGATCTGGGCATTTTCTTAGATTGATTGAAATGAATTTAGAAATATTATAATTTGTTAATAAATATGTAATACTATAATATATTTAAAGATTATATATATTTTAATAAAGTTTTTAACCCAGATGTTAATAATTTTTATGTAATAATAAGCTAAACTATATTTAGTTTTAATTGTAACATTTATTGTATTTTGTATTACAATAAAATTATAAATATAACCTGTGTTCTGCTTTTTTTAAATTATATTTTACAATATTTTTTATTTTATTTTTTTACAATTTTTAAAATTTAAAATTTAAATAATTCTTATAACAATGCCACCACAGAAAAAAAATTTTGATCCATGTGCAATTAAAAATTGTGAATCTAATGCTACGAAATTTCATAAATTTACTAAATATGCTGCAGAAAAGACTCAAAAATGTGGAACTTTGTCAATATTAGAATATTTCCATCTTTTACCAAATCAACATCAATTATGTAATTAGCATTATTTTCTTATTGTAGAACCAAATAGAAGTAATCCCAATTATTTTAAAATTAATAAAGCTTTTCAAAATTTACAAAAAACAGAAAAATCTTCTGAGTTAAAATAGGATAATATTTATTTGGAAATTTTAGATGATAAAGTATGTATTCCTAAACAAGATTTTTTAAATTTGGTTTCAAATATTGAATATTTGCAAGAAAATCAAAAGGATAAATTATTTGAAGAGATTATTAAAGTTTCTGAAGCTATAAATGAAAATTTTAAAAATATTAATAAAAATAATGCATCTAATAGTATTTAAAAATTAATATAATATAATACAGTATATACTATATTTTTTTTATAATTAACT